CTGGAATTCCTAAGTGCTTAATAACTAATCTTTGTGAGAGGAACCTGGAATGCATGAGATAAAAGAGTATTGAGGCTTGAGAAAACTTCAGGGAAATCATAGATAACAAAAACATGCCCAAAAAAACATTCCTGGCTTATCTAGCGCGCCTGCCGACCGTCTAATGTTTATGAAGATGCCGCAGTGTAAAAAGGAATACGAACATAAGTCTGAGAAATAAAGGAGCCACGTGCTCGCTGGATAACAACATCGGAAATAGAGAAGAATTTGTTGGGAAAGGCTTTCAAGAGAATAAATGGAAAAATGAGCAAATCTTAGGATGGAAACCTGACCATAAATGAACCAACTTGTGAAGGGAGGAGTTGAACAGCGGTCGCGGCATCGTACACATAGGTTGAGGTGAGGTAATGAAGGGGCGGTCACTAAACCCCGCTATAACGCCGAAGGAAGAAATCTTATGGCGAGCTCACGATGAAACTTTGCCATATGCGCACAAAGGCGCCACCGCCAAGACAGCATTACTCGAAAACGTGGGTGGTAAACCACCTCCCGTGGCCGAACAACAAGTTGTGTACATAATTAAAATTTAGATTTAGATACTGAGTAATTAGATGTCAGCCCCGTCATTCATTCACGAAGTGATTCCTCCGTCTCGCCCCCTAACTCCTACTCAACCCTCTCCAGAGCGGGCCGGTGAACTTTGCGCTCAAGGCAACGATCCGCGGAACTCAGGGGCCTTCGCCGAACCTTTCGCGACGTCCGCGGATCAACTTGGTCTTAAATCACTCCTTTGCAGGCGTGGCAGGTTCTACGGGGCGCGGCAAGAAGAATGCAGATGAACTAGTCGCCATGAATAGTCATATGCTCGCGACGTCCGGCGCAGCCCCTGGAGTCATCCTGCACCACCTCGGCCGACTGACAGTAGCGAACATGGCTTTGCTTGATTCGTGGCTCCGAGAATCGCTGGCACAACATGTCTTCGAACAGGCCTATCGGCCTAGCCAATCGAACTTACAGAAGAGAAACGTACAAGGGGCTTTGAATTTTTTACTTATTTTTTAAAGGTTCTTTTTTACCCGGATCATACCTTGTTCTCCATACAAAAGAACAGCACTGCTGGACACCCGCTATCGATATCTTGCCTGACACGCTGATACGCGATGCGCGAGAACCACCTCTCCGGCACGCCTTACTCGCCAGATCATCAACTAGTATTAACGTCCGCCCAAAACATTCCAACAGCTACAGCGGGCGAGCGACCCACAAAATGAGCCCAACGCAATAATCTGAACACCAAATCCATGAATTTTTGAAACACCTGAACTCGGGATCATGAACTTCACCATACTACCGTATCGACCTAGCTCATGAGCTCCACGAATTCGCTTCGCCTAACGGTTTAAACCCTCGTTCAGGGGAACGCGCAGAATAATGGAAAAAAATATTGTCGCTGAAGTAACAAAGCGTAACCATGTGCTCCGTTGACTCATTGGGAGAAACGCCCATGAGCCTATAAAAACCGCCAAAAGCAGCTGAAACGGCGATGAACTTACCCGTTTGAAACACGCCCTCTCACTCCGCGGGACCACCGATTTTGAACGTGATCTGAACGGTACCCTTGTCCCGAGCCGCAAGGGCGAAGTTTTTTATGTGCGGAATCGCCAGCCAACCGCCGCACGCGAGTGGCCACCCGTAGCGGAGAAGCTGAGGGAGCACCTGCAAAGAGAACAACTTACCTGACCTACCTTTTGACACAGCGAGGGTGGAACCACTCGTTGCTACCAGAAAGCTGCGCGCGCAGTGTAACGTGGCCATGCTTCTGCCTTACTCCAGTAATTATTAAGAGTTTATCCTAATGACATCAAAATAGACAATTAATATGTTACGCCAATCCGACGAACGAACAAATAGCTAACGATCTCTGATACTCATAACAACCGGGAGTAAAGGCAAGGAATATCATACAAAGAACTAAATAGCGAGAAAGGCACAAACAAGGTAAGGGCGCAACAAACATGGTGACTAGAGACATGATCTCAGTAGGCCGGGGCATCGCCCTAAAGGATGGAAGAAGCGGGCCCGAGCGGCCGGGGGGGGGGGGGGGGGGGGGGGGGGGGGGGGGGGGGGGGGGGGGGGGGGGGGGGGGGGGGGGGGGGGGGGGGGGGGGGGGGGGGGGGGGGGGGGGGGGGGGGGGGGGGGGGGGGGGGGGGGGGGGGGGGGGGGGGGGGGGGGGGGGGGGGGGGGGGGGGGGGGGGGGGGGGGGGGGGGGGGGGGGGGGGGGGGGGGGGGGGGGGGGGGGGGGGGGGGGGGGGGGGGGGGGGGGGGGGGGGGGGGGGGGGGGGGGGGGGGGGGGGGGGGGGGGGGGGGGGGGGGGGGGGGGGGGGGGGGGGGGGGGGGGGGGGGGGGGGGGGGGGGGGGGGGGGGGGGGGGGGGGGGGGGGGGGGGGGGGGGGGGGGGGGGGGGGGGGGGGGGGGGGGGGGGGGGGGGGGGGGGGGGGGGGGGGGGGGGGGGGGGGGGGGGGGGGGGGGGGGGGGGGGGGGGGGGGGGGGGGGGGGGGGGGGGGGGGGGGGGGGGGGGGGGGGGGGGGGGGGGGGGGGGGGGGGGGGGGGGGGGGGGGGGGGGGGGGGGGGGGGGGGGGGGGGGGGGGGGGGGGGGGGGGGGGGGGGGGGGGGGGGGGGGGGGGGGGGGGGGGGGGGGGGGGGGGGGGGGGGGGGGGGGGGGGGGGGGGGGGGGGGGGGGGGGGGGGGGGGGGGGGGGGGGGGGGGGGGGGGGGGGGGGGGGGGGGGGGGGGGGGGGGGGGGGGGGGGGGGGGGGGGGGGGGGGGGGGGGGGGGGGGGGGGGGGGGGGGGGCTGGGTAGGGACTAAAAAAAGTGGGTGCAGCGAAGGCTTTTCTGCGAACACAAGTTTTGTGCTTTCGATTGAATTTGAAGTGGCTGTTATCCTGGGAGCGCGTGGTTGTCCCGTAGAGCGCCGCGGGTTCTGAGCCTTGATCTTTATAATAATTTTGTGATCTACTTAATGTGAAAATAGGTGAAAAAGGTGTAGTTTTTGGCTAACGGTGTGCGCCGCTGCTTCTTATTCTCTACGCTCGAGTCTGGGCGATCGTAATTCTTGGTTAGTGCGTCCGTACGCGGCAACCGAAGAAATTTCCTTCTCCTCCAGGGTCGTTAGTCAATGCCAGGCTAATCTGGGAGGCAAAACGAACATTGCAATTTTAACATCGGTACGTGCGCTCCGCTGAATTTCATCTCGTTCACGTCCTTATCGCATCAAAACGCCGTCGCTCCTTACCGTCATACAATCAACTGCGGGTGCATGGTATCTCATTTTTCGACCTACATACGCACGTGGTCGGAATTTTGAGCTAGAAAAGAAGTAGGACAAGACCATGATGAAAGAACTCTAACTCTGCTTTCAAAGGGGGGGCGGATGAGGGGGGAATTCTTATCCCTGATGGGCGAGAGAGAGCGGGGCAAACGTCTCACTGGAACAATAGTTTGTCCGATGACTTCAAATAGGAAAACAGATTATTTGACTTTCTTCGTTCTCCTTGTTAGTGTCGAGACAGTGCAGATCATTGAGGCATCCATCTACAAAGTCTCAGCTGACAAAGCCTCGGTAGGCGATGGTTTCTCCCACACTCAGCTGCTTCTACTGAACTTCTGTCGTTTTTCTTGAGGTCTTGCTTCCGCATGACACCTGCTATGAAATGAAACCTCATAAGAAAATCGGAAAGCGAAAAGGCTCCCTACTGATGACTCTCTTTGAGCGTGATTCTTCAGACTTTGTGGCTCTTCGTGTTATTCCAGTCACCACAGAAGGAATATTGGACTAAGGTAAGGTATAAACTTCGGAACCAACAGCGGCACTGATTCGGGCCATCTATTCAGTGCCATTCAATTAGTCCCACATTGTGGGTTAACTTTTGTAGGATAGCTTTACCTTTGCCTGTTCCTTCTTGGCACGAAGTGGGCCTTGCCCAGCAAAACCTCATCGCCCACAACAAAGGAGTACATCTACTCCTCACATGCTCTTACAGTTTTCTCCTCATGGCTTCTTTTTTTCTATGGCTTTTTTGCTTTTCTCATCACTAGCGGTCTTTGCAGGTCTACTTTCGAATCGAATAATAACGCCCATGATCACGACACGTGCCTTCAACGGAAAATTTCACGATAAGGTCAGAGGTCGAAGAAGGGGAAACCTACCTGGTAGGATGACAGGCAGACCGACACGCAATTCGCAGCGAAGGATCATCTTTGCTATCTCACTTGGTGTTCGCGCCGCCCTATCGCCCGCTGAGTCCACTTCTCACCCTTCTCGGCCGTCTGGCCACATAAACGCCTACAGGAGATAAAGAGCTTCCAGCGGTCATATATCCAATAAGCGCGGTCAATGTTATCAGAACCGATTAGCCACGCTTTGCGAGGAAATCAACAGGCGGGAGGAGTCCCATTCCTCAAGTTCTGGGCTATTTTTCGTGTTTTTTCTCCCCATACTTCCATCACTGACCACCTCTACTTTGGTTTATAGTTAGCTGTATTTTCATCGTGAAGTGCGGTTTTAGTAGGTGTACTTGAATCTTCGAGTAATCACTAATGATCGAAAATTTATTAGACACGATCTCTATGATCACGTGGTTTTCTATTTTATTTTCTAATTGCGAAGAACATAACATTCAAAGCTGGGTGCAGGTCTTCTCTAGAAAATGGGGGCGTCCAAACGTATCTTACTCCAGAAAAAAATGTTTCTAGAGGAACCGGAAATGAAAAACTTTGAAGCGGTTTCAGGAACCAAGGAAACAGTTGCGCAACCTTGGTTTTTGTTCATGAAAGAATTGGTGCTTTAGATACGTTCTTTCTGTAAACAGTATGTTCATTTTCTAGTACTCTTTATTATCACCCGTATACATTTTTGTTTGAGCACTAGGAAATAACTGGTCGACTTTATGATTGGCTTTCAGCTGAATTGCTTCTATTAACGAAGAGGCGAGGTAGGTTTCTTCAAAAGACCCAAACGTCTCCGCTTCCTTCAGAAAATACGTCCACCCTTCTTGTGAGTCGATAATGCCTGAAATTTTAGGAAATTTCTCTTCATTAAAATCAACGAGAGGAACTGAGAACTCTTTCGTTTCACCTCACAACTGCATCTTCTGGCGGAACAAGCAGTACTGTGGCACCTGGTGAAAAACGGAGAACTTGGTGCACTCCCATTCCTTCCACCTGGAATGTTTGAGTGTTCCGTGCCATGTGAACTCATCTTAGTAGATCTGTACATATTTTGAAGTATGCAGCTTACAAATTTCGAACAAAAATCTCATTTTTTTGGTAAAGAAGGCCAGAAAGCAGATTTCACAATCACAAGGGTTACTGCGCTAGAGATCGGAAGCAGAGGCCGCAAAGTGGACCGCCAGCGAAAAAGACGAAAAGCGAAAACCACAAAACAATTGAATTTGAAATTGAAGGCTTCCCTTTGGAGGATGAGGGGGCTTACGATGAAGAGTCACTGGGTACCACATAGCGAACTGAATATAAACGCATAGGCTATTGTTTGGCGAGCAACAAGTGCAACTGCTTACGAGATGACAAGGCCGTAGCACTCCTGGCCCGTTTTCGAGTCGAAAAAACCACACAGATTCTACCTTTGGGACATACTATTCTTCTAATCACATGGCATTGACTAGTTTGTTCGTGCAATGCGTGTTGATATCGAGAGCAGGGTGAAAAGCGGTCGAGGAGTCTTCCTCGGCCCGTCGAGGGTTTGCCCCTATCCAGTCACGCTCTCCCGCGGACATTCACACTCGCCACGCGCGAGCCGTCTGTGCTCTCCGCGCGTACACTCTCGACACTACTCTCACACAGTACAGAGCCATGGTCGAGGAATTCCTCGACCGTTATTCACCCTTAGCGACGGCCATTTTTCACCTTGACTGCGCAGAGGAGTCCCACATCGAACACACCATCGTATGTAAAAGGGAATACCTTCATAGGTTGTATGATGCTTTTGGTCGTGTGATTTAGGGGCGCGACGTGGCTGGTGTTGTGCCATTCATCCATTGGGAGACGGGAATTCTCCATTCTCCACTGGATTGGATTG